CACCTTTGCCACTGCATCTGTCTGTTCGTTCATTTAAAGAAGGTAGATCTCCAGGCAAGGGCTAAATAATTCTGAAAAGGGGGCAGCGCACCAAATAGATTTGGGAACTTTTGTTCTAGAGCCTAAGGATAGTCATTAGGAAAGCCCTCTCTCAATCTTGCCTGTGAAAGTGGCAGGATTGAAAGAAATGAGGATCTCAGAACTTGGTTGGACTCATATCTGGGGATACAATCTGCCAGATGACCGCTTTGGACTATGGACTTTATTGCACATGGCTGCTGATGTGCAGTCTTGTTATCTGGTATTCACAATCACTGGGCTTACCTTTCAAACCTGGCTGTTGGATTATGATTTATCTCTAGATGTTGGACTCTAGTATTTGGCTCTCAATCCTGGACTGGACACTCAGTAACTCTGTTGGTCTACTTCCTGCTGGTAGATGGTTCGAAGCTTCTGACAATAAGGTCCAATGTCAAGGTCACAGTCCAATAGTCAGAAATAAAGAGTTCAATTGTCAGGCTCCATATGTTAAAGACCAAGAATCCAGGAATACTAACCACAGGCAGATGTCAGAAGTCATACCAGAAAGTCATGAATACAAACTGAAGTAAAAGTCCATAAATCAAAGACAGGAATTCAAGAATACAAACATGGTCCGAAGCAAGAGTCCAGGAAACCAAGAGGAGAGTCCAGAAATCCAAGCTAGGGGAAGCAGAGTCAAGGTCCAAGACAAGGATATGAAACTGTCTGCTGCCAAGGGCCAGTCTGCTCCAGGATCTTTTATAATGAGGTCTCAGCTCATTGTTACATCACATGTAATCCCAGAAACCTGTGATGCTTTCTGCAAGGAGGAGATATGATTAACCACATCCAAGCTTGCTCTAAATACTGGAGAACTGTCCCCTTCTGCAGAAGGGTTGCTTTCACAACAGCTGAGCCAAACCAGGCAGACTGAGACCACGACAGATTGTGAAAATTTGCATCAACAAAATCCTTGCACTGCACAATGGTGTCAAGGTGTGAAAGAGATTGTTGCAATAATGTTATGTTTCCACTTGCTTAAACAGCATGGTTGTGATGCGACAACAGGTTGGAAAGATAAAAGTCCTGTGCCCAGAAACAGACTCATCATACCCTGATATGGCAATCTTTGGTTATCAGGTGGCCCCCACCATTATTATTTTTAAAAGGAAGAGAAGTTCCTTTTAAATGGAGGAACTCTGAGACATTTCAGTCAATGGAGCACACTTCTGAAAATTCTGCTCTATTACAATCTCTTATGAGACTACTGAGTTCAACTACTGTGGGTTCAACTATGGAGTGGTTTTAGCTAACTGCAAAATGCAGGTTCAGAGCCTGGTGTGCTTTGCTACTCCCAAAAGGCCAGATTCAACACATGAACTGGTATGAAGGCAACTAACAGAAGTTTAGTCAATCTGGCCAGAAAGACTCTGTACTGTGATGTCAGTACAGAGACTTGCATTCAGAAAGAACCAAGGTAAGTAAAGATAATTTTATCCATTTTGGCAGCCATTCAAAATACTTGTGCCCTCCCCTGATTGGTGGAAAAGCTGGCCCGGTTTGGATGCAGACTTCTGTGGACTGGGATTCCTTCTGATGTGACTGGTTAGAGGAGTTTTCTCTGTGGCCGGAAAAAGGAACAGCTGTGATTGGTGAATTCAGGGCTCAAGTCAATTTAAAGACCCATTCCCTTAAGGTGTGTGAGTCCAAGAATATGTTGACGTCAAATACGAATAGTAGCATGATTAACTTAATGTACAGTCCAGCTAAACACAAAGAGGTAACCTGTAAAACACAAGGGGTGATTGAAATTACCGTATATACTCAAGTATAAACTGATCCAAATATAAGCCGAGGCACCTAATTTTACCACAAAAAACTGGGAAAACTCATTGAGTATAAGCCCAGGGAAATGCAGCAGCTACTGATAAATTTCAAAAAGAAAAATAAAAACCAATAAAATTACCATATATACAGTATATGCATGTATGTGTGTGTGTATGCAGTTTCTCAAGTCGCTCCTAACACCAAAAAACTATATATTCGAGTATAAGCAGACCTGAATATAAGCCAAGGGGTCTTTTTAGACTAAAAAATGTGCTGAAAAACTCGGCTTATACTCAATATATACTGTACTTGAAACAATGGGCTGGTCTCACCTGCAACAAGTCTGCTGGTGCGTATTAGCTGATGACTCCAATCCCATCAAAGGAAGCGAAAAAGTTTCTCAATGCACTAAGCAGATTTATCAATGGGGGAGAGATGTGTCAATGGAAAGGGGTTGTGGTTTACATAAATGCAATAGATATCCCATCAATGAGATTTGGGCATCTCCAGCCTTGCATACATTAGCCAGCTAAGTTTGTTTCCTATCCCAAGGCATGAGATTAAGTAAGGCAATTTTATAGATTTGCAGTTCCAGTTAGACTTTAAGGACTTGATTTCTTGTGATGTAATTTATACAATTTTCATAAAAATGTATTTGCTATACAAGAGGAGATTTAGCTGGCAGACTTTTCTAGAGTGGTGGAGGAGCAACATTAGGACATTACAAAATTGGTAAAAAGGAAGACTAAAATAAATTCATGTTTAATTCACCTCTGTCCATTTGCATTTAATTATGACGGGGCGAATTTCTCAATAACATAATCTTATTATAATTATCTTAAACAGGGATGGGAGTCTTGCAGCCCTCCTAATGTTGCTAGAACTACAGTTTCCAGCATTCTTCACTATTGACTTTGCGAAGGGCTGAAGGGATATGTAGTCCAGCAGCATCAGGAGGTCTGCGGATTTATCGGCCATGGCCTTAGGATAGTGTTTTAACAGTCTGTTGCATTACATTATCCCCCCAACAGAAAACAAGATGAGACAACACTGAAAGTAAGGAAAAGATGGCACCCAAAAAACCTGCACCAGCTAAAACAAAAGCCCACAAACCAGAAGCCTCAAATTTGAAATTGAAGGAGAAGAGTAAGTTGATTCTACTTTTATTTTGTCTTTACAGAAATTCAGAAATATTCTGTACCTTACTTCCCCTCCCTTCATTCAGAGATTTCCCTTCTCTCCTTGATGGGGAGATATTGGAAATGTAGATATTTATACATATATTGTATGCGCATTACAAGCACTGAAATGTAAGAAAAATCAAGTTCTCTCTGTATTAGAAAGCCAAGCTGACAGGACAAAGGAAAGCTGAAGTATCTGGGTCCAAGGCACAGGCAAGCGGGGTGGGGGTGGGTGGGTGGGGGGTGAACATTCCAGGAGTGGGGAGGTAACAAAGTCCTGGTACCAACAGATATAAGTTTTCTCCCCCTCCCTCCTGACAGGTCAAAAGTAGGCCCCTGATGGATGTAAGCTGCTCTTTAGAAAAAATACTGAGACATGCCCCTTGCATGTTGGAAGATATAATTTGATACTTCTATGATGCTTAAGGTGTCGTCGTGATTATGTTAACGTATGTAGAAGCATGTTTCTTTGTTTGCCTGCATTTGAAGATGTATAAAAAGGAAAGTCAACGCCTTTATCCTTACTCTGGTTTGCTTTTGGATGAGATTCCACACCAGAGTCTTAGCTGAAAGTAAAAAATGGACCTTTTCTTTCTCCCAAAAAGGATCGCTCTTCGTATTATCTCTCCTATCAGCCACAACATCCTAGGTACAAGATGTACTGAAATTATTCTTTTTTCCTAGCAGAAAAATCTGCTGGCATTGTTTTCTCTTTCTAAAGGAGGGCTCTTGAAAATAGCACAGTTTTGGAGGATTATTCATAGCCTCGATTCATGCAAAATGAAACTTATGGTTTTGGATTTTTTTTAAATGGGATTTTCTGTGCAGGAAACATTTTAGTCCATCCCCACCCTACTGCAAAACAAACAAACAGCTTTAATTTACAGGGAAGACATTTCCATTGCATGGAATTCATTTGATTTTCATAGTGGGAGGGAAGTATGTAGAACAGCTTTGTTTTGTAGGCCAAGAAGGTTATTCATGGAACAAGAACTCTGGTTTGCAGATTGGGAAGGCTTTGCATGGAACAGGAGCTCTAGTTTTCAGACCAAGAAAGTCCAGCCCACTCCAATCCACTAATAGGAACTCAGACTGGAAAGCCTTTGCATGGGAAAGGGACTCTGATGTACAGACCGAGAAGGCCATTCATAGAAAAGGAGCACTGGTTTGCAGATTGGGAAGTTTTTGCATGCAAAATGGACTGGTGTGCGGACCAGAAAACTTTGCATGGATCAGGCACTCTGGTTTGCAGACCGAGAAGGTTATTCATGGAAAAGGAATTCTGGTTTGCAGACTGGGAAGCCTTTGCATGGTACAGGATCTCTAGTGTGCAGACCAGGAAATTTTGCATGTAACAGGCACTCTCGTTTGCATACTGAGAAGGCTATTCATGGAAAAGATACCCTGGTTTCCAGACTGGGAAGCCTTTGAATGGTACAGGGTTTCTGGTATACAGACCAGGACATTTTGCATGGAGCAGAGGCTTTGGTTTGCAGACCAGGAAACTTGGCTTTAGTTTGCTGAGCAGACAGGTTTTACATATAGCAGTACTATTCATTCACGATACCTACATGTTCCTGTCTTCCAGAGCAAGATGCTAACGGAGCAGCAGCTAAAGAAACAACAGCCAAAAAAGCTCCTGGAGCAGCCAAGAAGAAGAGTAAGTATAGGCTGAGATGTGGTTCATTGCATGGAGGAATTCTCGGTACCTACATGTTCCTGTCTTCCAGAGCAAGATGCTAACGGAGCAGCAGCTAAAGAAACAACAGCCAAAAAAGTTCCTGGAGCAGCCAAGAAGAAGAGTAAGTATAGGCTGAGATGTGGTTCATTGCATGGAGGAATTCACGGTACCTACAGGTTCCTGTCTTCCAGAGCAAGATGCTAATGGAGCAGCAGCTAAAGAAACAACAGCCAAAAAAGCTCCTGGAGCGGCCAAGAAGAAGAGTAAGTATAGGCTGAGATGTGGTTCATTGTATGGAGGAATTCACTGTACCTATATGTTCCTGTCTTCCAGAGCAAGAGGCTAACGGAGCAGCAGCTAAAGAAACAACAGCCAAAAAAGCTCCTGGAGCGACCAAGAAGAGTAAGTATAGGCTGAGATGTGGTTCATTGCATGGAGGAATTCACGGTACTTACATGTTCCTGTCTTCCAGAGCAAGATACTAACGGAGCAGCAGCTAAAGAAACAACAGCCGAAAAAGCTCCTGGAGCGACCAAGAAGAAGAGTAAGTATAGGCTGAGATGTGGTTCATTGCATGGAGGAATAAGGCACAAAAAGTGGCAAGAAAAAAAAAACTAGGACTGGACATAATGGGGAAGGACACAGAGAGGAGAAAAAGTGGCAAAGGCCTTTGGCTTGAATATGTGCATCTCTCCAAATATTGTTAACATAGAATACTAGGCCTGTTTGATCAAGAAAAAATTTGTTTCTAAAATCGATTTGTAATTGGGGTGTTTTTTTGTTTCGATATTTAAAATAATTACAAAATTTTCCAAAAAAAGTTTTGATATTTACGAAATTTTGTAAATATTTACAAAACATTTTGTAAAGATGGCGGACCCCCGCGCATGCGTAAAACAAGCTTCGTTATTCGTATAACTGCAAAGTTTCTTATCAATCCAGGATTCATTTCATCAGGGTTACTTGATAGTAAACATTCTTTTGCATTTTAGAATATTTTCACATGGCGCTGCAGGAATCCCCTCCCCGGACCCATCTCTTGACTAACTGCCCGATTCACAGAATGGTATTATACGTACACTGAGCTCATAGGCGCATGGAGACAGAGCCGGCGCTGCAGGAATCCCCTCCCCGGCTCCTGCGCTCCGGCTCCTGCGCTCCGGCTCCGGCACCTGCGCCCTCCTCCTCCTCCTCCTCCTCCTCCTCCTCCTCCTCCTCCTCCTCCTGGCACTTCCTGCAACACAGCTGCGGAGGCCGGTTGTCTCTTTAAGGCGCCTCTCTCTCCCAGCTGTGTTGCTGGGAGAGAGAGGCGCCTTAAAGAGACAACCGGCCTCCGCAGCTGTGTTGCAGGAAGTGCCAGGAGGAGGAGGAGGAGGAGGAGGAGGAGGGCGCAGGAGCCGGAGCCGGAGCGCAGGAGCCGGAGCGCAGGAGCCGGGGAGGGGATTCCTGCAGCGCCGGCTCTGTCTCCATGCGCCTATGAGCTCAGTGTACGTATAATACCATTCTGTGAATCGGGCAGTTAGTCAGATGGGTCTGACTAACTGCCCGATTCACAGAATGGTATTATACGTACACTGAGCTCATAGGCGCATGGAGACAGAGCCGGCGCTGCAGGAATCCCCTCCCCGGCTCCTGCGCTCCGGCTCCGGCTCCTGCGCCTCCTCCTCCTCCTCCTCCTCCTCCTCCTGGCACTTCCTGCAACACAGCTGCAGAGGCCGGTTGTCTCTTTAAGGTGCCTCTCTCTCCCAGCAACACAGCTGGGAGAGAGAGGCGCCTTAAAGAGACAACCGGCCTCCGCAGCTGTGTTGCAGGAAGTGCCAGGAGGAGGAGGAGGAGGAGGAGGAGGAGGGCGCCGGAGCCGGAGCGCAGGAGCCGGAGCGCAGGAGCCGGGGAGGGGATTCCTGCAGCGCCGGCTCTGTCTCCATGCGCGTACGTATAATACCATTCTGTGAATCGGGCAGTTAGTCAATCGGGAGCCGATTGCGCTCGCGCCCAACAGGCAGGGTCGGGGCTTGGCTCACTGGGTGCGCGCTCGCGCCGCCCCTTCGCCCCGCCCGCCCGCCCCATTTACGAAACGGGCGAAAGCTCGTTAAAACTGTGGGGGTTGCCGTTTCGATATTTAAAAACCCTTCCGGGTTTGAAAATATGTTTTGTTATCGTTTCGTATATGCGAAAATTAACGAATGTTTAACGAATTAACGAATTAACGAACGAAACCGCACAGGCCTATAGAATACCCATTCATCCCATCTGAGTTGACCTATTGGGTCTTCTCCCAAAAGAATAAGCCCTTGAATCGATAGTTAAAGTGTAGCAAAATAAGGTCAAAATAGGAGCTGTTATGTGGCAGCTAACAAGATGCCATACTAACACCATTGCCAATCAATATCTCCTGAAACTGCTGGGGAAAGTCATCCAGAGGCATGGACTGAGTATTATCTCTGTGTGGATAATATCCAAATATATTTCTCCAATCTTCAGAAACATCCTCAGTGAAGGACAGGATGTCCCCTCCAAATGAATGTCTGGAAGAGATCATGTTCCCCTTTCCTTATCTCTAATGGTAAAAAGTGAAAAATCCATAAAACAAGTGTACTAAAATTATTGGTGTTCTGTTATTATATTTTCCCCCTTCACAACCATTGTAACATATACCATGTTATCATAACTCTACTCCAACATTGAGGATTTCAGATAGTTCTTGGTCTGTGACCTTGCCACACTGAGAACCCCCCCCCCCCCACCCCCGAGAGCTTATGTCTCAGCTGGCTTCACCTACAGCCTTCCTAATGCAGTGACCCCTCAATAAAGTTTCTCATGTTGTGGTGACCCCCAACCATAAAATTATTTTTGTTGCTACTTAATAACTGTAATTTTGTTAGTGTTCTGAATCGTAATGTAAATATCTGAGATGCAGGATGTATTTTCATTCACTGGTCCAAATTTGGCACAAATACCCAATATACCCAATATACTCAAATTTGAATACTGATAGGGTTGTGGGGAGATTGATATTGTCATTTGGGAATTGTAGTTGCTGGGATTTACAGTTAACTTACAATCAAAGAGCATTCTGAACTCCACCAATGATGGAATTGAACCAAACTTGGTACACAGAACTCCTATGACCAACAGAATATAGTTTGGTGGGCACTGACCTTTGGAGTTGTAGTTTACCTACATGCAGAGAGCACTGTGGACTCAAAAAAGGATGGATCTGGACCAAATTTGGTGCAAATGCTCAATATGCCCAAATGTATTGGAAAAATAGACCTTGACATTTGGGAGTTTTAATTACTGGGATGTATAGTTCATCTACAATCAAAGAGCATTCTGAACCCCACCAAAAGTTGAATTTGGCCAAACTTCCCACACAAGTCTCCCTCATCGCGACAAGGTGACAATCCATTGAGGGGGTGGCTTTGCTGCGACCACTGTGAGATTTCTATTACTGCTGGTTAAAGCAGAATTCTTTCCCCGTTTTCTTTTCCAGAATCGCCAAGGGAAATCTGGAACTTCATTGTCTATTTCTTCAAGTCTCCCTTTGCCTTGCATGCTGCCATCATACTGTCCTTCCTTCTCTTTGTTGCCACTATTACCACCATTGCCTTGTGTAAGTCCAATACTTCCTGCAAAGGAAAGGGATCAGGATTTCTTTGGGTTGACTTTTGTTCCTTGGGAATAATGCTTTTGAAAAAAAAGAAGGAATGATCCTGATGCCTTTTAAACTTTTATGACTGTCAACCAGTCTCTCAATGCAGCATTGTACTTAATATGAAGGGTCTTCAAAAATTTTTTGTACTTTTGTTGAAAACAGGGAAGGCTAAAGTAGTAGTAATTGATCATCTCTGAGAGTGTCATACAGCCAATGTGTCTGACAAACTCATTTACCTTGCAGTTTAGTATCAGTGTGGCACCAAAGAGGAACAGCGTTTTATCCCATGCTTTTTTGTTGGCAGAAGGCAAGCCACGAGTAGAAATTATTCCCCATATTAGCATTCTGTATGGGGATAAAGTCCACTCTCACAGAATCATCTATCTGCGGGTGGATTCAAATATTTGAAAACAACCATACTATGAGTGTGACACATGCAAAGTGCTCCGGCTACAGCCATGACAACAAGGAATGAAGAAAGAAACCTAGAAATGATCCAACAGTAGATGCCATTCAAAAATTGATACAACAGTGGCAAAAATGCATTGCAAAAGAAACAAACTATATGGAAAAGGAATGTATCTTGGTTTTAATTTTTAAAAAATAAATGGAGTTCAAAAAAGTGCAGAAAACTTTTGAAGAGCCTGAGTATAAACTGAAGAATTGATGGAGGAATCTCTAGATCCTCCAGATATTGTTGAACCACATCTCCCAGCAATGCTAAATAACCAAAACAATGGTGAAGAATGCTGGGAGATGCAGTCCAACCACCACCGGATGGGCACTTTATTTCCCCTTGTAACATAGAGCCTTCAAGTTGCCTATTGACTTATGGTGACCACATGAATTTCATAGTATTTTAATGAGTGCTGCCCTCCAAAATATTTATTTATTTATTTACAGTATTTATATTCCGTCCTTCTCACCCCGAAGGGGACTCACGGCGGATCACAATGTACATATACACATCAAACATTCAATGTCATTTTTGACATACAAGACATACAGACAGATAAAGGCCTTTCAGCAGTTATTCCACTTCGGATCCTGGAGATTGCTCGATTCGGCCACAGGGGGAGCTGTCGCTTCGTCCATTATGATGTCAAGCCTTTTTGATTGCAGTATTTCCTCCTTGCTCTCCGGCATTTTTATGGTGTCATACATTAGCCTCCCCGCTTTAAGCGGTCCCTAATTCCTCTACTCACAGCTATTTTCGAACTGCTTAGGTCAACAGTGAGGTGGGCATTTTTAACAGCTATTTTTTTTAACAGCTATTAACAGACTCGGGCTTCAAACTTGCTACCTTTCAGTCGACAGTGATTTATTGTAGCTGATTAACCAGTTGTGCTACCAGACCGGCCCTACAGTACTTGGTTTTATTACTGGAGCTCGCGCCCTCCAAATGGGAAGCTTAGCCTCACAACTTTCTGTGTTAGGAGTTTCCCGTAAATATCCTGCTCCTATTTTATCTCAATACAGTCTTTTAATTGTTCTATCCTTTACATGTGGCCTGCCCATTGTTATCGTTACTGTGATTGTGTTTATTAGAATGTTATTTTATGACTGCCTTTTTTATTTTTTCTTATGTAATTTTGATGATGTTGTTTGTTGTTTATGCTTTGATTTTATTGCTGTTATATGTTGTCCAGGCTTGGCCCCATGTAAGCCGCTCTGAGTCCCCACTGGGGAGATGGTGGCGGGATATAAATAAAATATTATTATTATTATTATTATTATTATTATTATTATTATTCCATAGCAGTCATTCTGGGCTTGAGGAAAGTCCTCAAGAACTCTGGGAGACTGCAGGTCTCAGTGTTGAGGGCTAATTCTGGGTAAAATTTGCACAGAAAGCAGCTGAAAACAACAGAGAATGCTGTTTATTGCCCAAGAAACACCAAAATGTTTTCCATATGTAACAATACAGAAGTGCATTGGCACAGTTGGTTAAATCCTTGTGCTGGCAGGACTGAAAACTGACAGGTTAGAGGTTTGAAACTGGGCAAAGCACAGTTGAGCTCCCTCTGTCAGCTACGGCTTCCCATGCAGGGACATGAGAGAAGCCTCCCAGAAGAATGGTAAAACATCAAAACATTTGGGCACCCCCTGGGCAATGTCCTTGCAGATGTCCAGTTCTCTCACCCCAGAAGCGACTTGCAATTTCTCAAGTCACTCCTGATACAAAGAAATAATAGAGAGAAAGAGAGAGAAAAAGAGAAATTCAATGTTTTTTGCCCAAGAAAAGGGCTAGGATACCCAAGGCAGAAACAGCTCAGCTCATGGGAAGTTACTTTTTTATTGCTAATAGAGTTGAAAATTTCTTTCCTGGGTTTTACTACTCTTTGGGTGCATCTGCACTGTAGAGTTAATACAGTTTGACACACTTTAACAACTATGGCTCCGTGCTATGAAATAATAACTTTTTTCATAAGTTCCTAAGCCTTTTCTGGCCAAGAGTATGGGTGCCTCACTAAATTAATTTTGCTAAAATTATTCCTCACCTTCCAGAATAAAAGCAGTAGGATTGCTTTGCTATGAAACTTCTAGAAGTACAGTTTAGGATTTAAATTTAGTGAAATTGCATTCATTCTCCTACTAAGAATGACATCCCTTACAGGAGAAGGAAAGCCATAGTTGGATGATTGTGGCAACAAAGGTGTTTATGTCTCCCCTTTTCTCTCCATCAGATGCAGCAGAACGTGAGAAAACTGCCAACCTACGCACCGCAGTCAGGAAAATTTCAAGATTTATGAAAGTGCAAGAACCAAGACTCCGAACACAGTTGGGTAAGCAATAATTCATCATGATAAGGCTGCTTTTACTCTGCCTGTCATCATCATTGTTATTATCATTTCTTACCTGCCTCTGTTCCCTCAAAGTAGGGAACAATCTATCTATATCTGTATCTATAAAAATGAATATATATGTATGTGTGTGTGACTGGGGTCCACAGACATAGACAGGCTCCTACTTCCATAAATAGCTTAAAACCCCCACCACTCAGGAGACACCAAAGCTCCCCCCCCTCCAATGACATTTCAGGTTACATGTTCTAGAACCATGCCAATGCCCTCCACAAACACAATACTACCCACCACCCAAGTGAATACTTTCATATGGAAATTTTCATCCTAGATTTTATATCTTTCCTCCACCACAGGCATCTCAGTGTTTCTTACTCTCTCCATTGATGTGGAATTTGCATGATCCCGCCCACTGCCTGTCCTATAAGCCTTCCCTACTCTTTTCTATGGCACACAGCAGAATTGACCAGCAACTGAACATACTGGCGGGGTTTGGGGGACTGACTCAACATGATGGAAGTTGTAGTTCACTCTGCATCAAGACAGCACTGTGACCCGTACAGCACTGTGACCTAGATTAAATTTGGTATACAGAATCCCCAAGATCCAAAAAAAAAAAATACTGTAGAAGTTTTTGTGTGTGTGTGTGTGTGTGGGGGGGGGGGTGACCTTGGTTAATAAGAGTTGTGAGTACTGGGATTTATAGTCCATCTGCAGTCAATGAGTACTCTGAACCCCAACTACCAGAATCCAACTACCTTGGATTCTGGTAGTTGTAGTTCACCCACATCCAGAGAGCACTGTGAACCTAGTTGACAATGGATCTGGACCAAAACTGGCATGCATATCCAATATGACCAACTTTGAATACTGGTGGAGTTTGGCGGGGTTGACTCAGGAACTGGGAAATTGTAGTTAACCCACAATCAAAGAACACTGTGAACCCAACTGATGATGGATCTTGACCAAACTTGGCACACATACCAAACTTGAACAACTTCAAATAAGGGCAAGGTTTGGGGAGAACTGACCTAGAATTTTGGAATTTTTAATTCACCCACAACCAGAGAGCACTATGAACCTAACCTACCTAAATATAGATGAAACCAGACACACATACCCAACATGATTAACTTTTAATACTGACAGTGTTTGGGGGAATTGACCCAGAATGATGTGAGTTATAGTTCACTACATCCTTATAAATTTTAATTAACTTTATTTAAAAAGTGTTAAAAGTTATATTAATTTTTAAAAAGTAAATCAAGAAAAAATAGAGTATAAAGACAAAAAAGTGCCAAGAAAAAAAAGAAAAGAAAATGAAAATGCAGATGACCTCTAATCTATTCTGGCCAATCTATTCTGATATAAGCTTCACATCCTATTAGCTAAAAGCAAACAACAGATAAACTACTTAAAAACATCAGTTTAAAAAGAAGATAAAGGGTTGGACTGGATGGCCCTTGGGATCTCTTCCAACTCTCGCATTCTATTACTCAAATTGTTCCTTTGTTTCAGATATTGACGTACTCAATGAAACCCAGAAGTATGCAGACATATTGGCATCCTGGAGTGCAAAGATTGTTGAACTGGATGAAGCTATCAGTAAGTAAGTTACTCAGAGACTATGAGGGTGAAGTGTGTTTGAAGAAGATCCAAACTGCCACATGCAACATATTGGCAAAGAGCAAAAGACCCACCTGGTTGTGTCCATTGGTTCAGGGTTGTTCCAGTCCTCTGCCTCATCTATACTGCCATATGATGCAGTTTCAGAAGTGTACTTAACTGGATTATATGGCAGTGTAGATCCATATAATATAATCTGCATTATATGCTCTACATTGACCATATAATGCAGTTGAAAACTAAATTATTTGACAGTGTAGATGGGGCCAAAGGAGAACCAAGGAAATCTGTTCCCTCTCGTAATGTTCTCAAGATCATGATGAGGAATCTCAAGGCAAGATCACTGTCTTGAAAACTGTGTCATTATTGTCTCCTGTTGGTGTTTTATGTATATGTAAGTGTCCGTATACATTTAGTTTTACATTTTAAAAAAATTAAATATTTTTTGAAATGTTTTTTATTAGGAAGATTAGAAAAAAAAGGATAACATTGAAAGTGGGAAAACATATTCAGTTTGGATAGGAAAGTAGGAACATTAAGGTCGAAGTATATAGAAAAAAAGCATATATATATATATATATATATATATATATATATATATGAAATAGAGAATTTGAGGAAAAAGAGAAAAAGAAATAAAAGAGAAAAAAATATTTCAGAGAAAATTATATAGTATTGTTGACTTCCATGTAGACTTTGGTGTTCTTTAAAGTTTCTTTTTTTCCTGTTTTTCAGAATTTATCTGCTTCCCTTCTTTTTCTTCCTTATTTGTGATTTACTCTTTTTAGATGATAATTTCTATTTTCCGCTGTTTGAAAAAGTTTTTTTACTGGGTCCCAGTTTGTGTATTTCTTTGGGATCCCCTGGTTTGTGGATAGCCAGTATGTCAGTTTGTCCATGTTCATTATTTCCAAAAACTTATTTTGCCATTCTTCTTTTTTGGGGTGTTTCTTTTGATCTCCAATGTTTTGCAAATACAATCCTAGCTGCCGTAGTCAGGTAATGAAACAGTATCTTCTCCTTCGAAGTCTAGAATCTCTAAAAGAAAATATTCTGGTTCCCTTTGAATTTGTATTTTTAATTATTTTGTATCTCTTCTTGAATTATAATCCAGAACTCTTTTTCTTTTGGACACGTCCACCAGGCATGGAAGAAGGTGTCTGTTTGATGTTCGTATTTCCAACACTTATCTGATGTGTCTTTATAACATTTTGAAATTTTTGGGGTTGTTAAATACCATCTGCGTATCATTTTAAGTAGGTTCTCTTTAAGGTCGTAAAAATAAGTATATTTAATTTTTTGATTCCAAATCTTCTCCCATTGTTTCAATTCTATTTGTTTTACATTTTTTAGAAGCTACGGTTTCATTTCCTATATCTCTTCAGTCCCAGCATACATAGGGTTGCCCTGGGGATTCCAAAGATAGAGGCATCCTCTCTAGGAATTTGTTCAGCCCTTCAGTGTGGCTGCAAGAACTTTCCAAATTTTTCGTGTTGCTGCCATGTTTTTTAGACATGAATCCTTTCATGACATGGTAATTCAGTTTTACTAGCAAGCTGGTGGTTACACCAACTCCTTATAAGAATTTCATACAATACACACACACGCACACACACTTATAGCGTATAGCATATAATATACATATTATATATACATTTCATATAATTTGTACTGTATAAATGAGATTTGGAAATTTCCTCTTTACACTTCTTATGTCCTATAGTTGATTCTTGTGTAGTTTTCTCTATGGACACTCCATGGGGTTCATCACAACCGATGTCAACAGATTTTCTTTTCTAAAATAGAAACTTATCCATGTTAGTGATAATTATTGCAACTCAATCAACAAATTATGCAAATGATAAACATTATAGCAGTACTACACTTGAACAGCACCAGCACTCCACTTCTGCAGGGATTAAACCTTGGAAGGTTTTGAAATGGAGGCTGGATAGCCATCTGTTGGGAGTACTTTGACTGTGTTTTCCTTCCTGGCTGAAGGGGATTGGACTGGATGCCTCTGGGGGTCCCTTCCAGCCTTATTGAAGTATAGACTGTATAGACTGCCTGGGAGTCCAATGGAGTCCCCTACCCTAAAGGTTTTTATTAGGGAGGCTGGATGCTGTGTGTTGGGAGGGCTTTGGCTGACCCTTCCTGCCTGGTTGAAAGGAGTTGGACTGAATGCCCTTTGGGAGTCTCTTTCATGGGGGCAGAGAGCGGAAGCATTTTTATGTGAAACACCTGTGGACTACAGGATGCACACTGGTGTGTTCCATTGCAGAGTTTGGAAACTCTATGGTAAGTTTCAGGGGAAGCAAAGCAGAGAATCATGCTAGAGGACCAAGAGAATTCCTATGGAGACCATTTCCCTCAGAGTATGGGTTAGTGAAACTATGGCCATATTTTTAATGTTGTCACTATCAACAACAATAACGGGGTGGGTGGGGGGAACACGTGGTGCTATATCATGAATTGTCAGTACTGTACATAATGCCCTTTATCTTTGTATATAAATATCAGCAGGGAGTTGCCACCGATTAGCTTCTACTGAATCCTCTCTTGTATTTCCCACCCCTTCATCCTTCTTCCCATGTTCCTGATTTGGATTGCAGCCGATATTACCAAAAGGATTGCCAATGATTGGAATGTACATGGTGGCAGCCTCTTTTTGTTTCAAACAGACAAACACACATTCAATCGAGCAAGACACGCATGTACAACCAGAGATTCCGTCTTGACTAGCATTGACAGCCCAGAGGAAGAGGTGAGCAGAACACAGGGGGACCTTGATAACATATGTAACTGAATGATGGTTTCACCATTGGATCCATTGGGTATGCCTCTATATCACTTGGGCTTGGATATCTTGGGGTCTTTCTACACATGCATTATAACCCAGGTTAAACTGGGTTTAGGGGGGGGGATGTTAGTCAAAATGTGGGAGAAATCAGGAGGAAGCGGATTAAAGGCTGGAAAACACGTGTTTAAAAGTTGCCCTTTAAACCCGATTCTTGCTGAAAACACACATACTTTTCCATCCATGTGTATCCCTGCAGGCATAGCAAACAAATGTTTTGCTTCCCTCCCCCCCCCCCATCTGGACTCCCTCTCTGCCCTCCCCCTTTACATCTCAACTTACCAGGGCCTTCCTTAGATGCAGGTCCAAAGCCTTTGTTTCTTTTCGTCCTCCCTGGAAGAACCAACAAAGGGCCTTGGAGCAAAAATTCCCCCTTCCCTACCCAAAACTCTCCTTCATCTCTTTCAAGGGAGAAGGCGGGTGGGGGAGATAAAGACCTTAGGGAAATGGGGGAATGGAGGGGGAGGCTGGCAGTGCCCATGCCCACCCCTGCCGATCTCAGATCAGCAGGGGTATCTGGACACTCCACCCCCCCCCCCGCCCCGCAAAAGCATGGGGTTTAGGCCAGCTATGTGGCATCCATTCGAAGATAAAATAGGAATCCCACCTCCTTTTGGATTTTTGGCCTGTCTAGAGGGGCCCTTGGTCTAGAGGGGCCCTTCAGGAGCAAAAGGAAATGACAGATAAGGGAAGACCTAAACTGAGGAATTGATGAAGACTGACACCACTTAAACTGCCATGGATCAATGTGATACAGATCAATTGAGGTGCTCATAAAAACAACAGGACCAAAAGGAAGCCACTCCACCCGCCATTTATTACACTGCTAGCTTAGGTACCTGGCAATAGCCTGGTTATTTGAAAAAGTCATTTTAATTTTTTTAATTAATGGTCTCATTAAGAACATGCTTTAACCCCCTCAAACTCCATCAGTACTTAAAGTTGGTCATGTTGGCAATGTGTGGCAAGTTTGCTCCAGATGTGTGATCGGTGAGGTTCAGTGCCTGCAGGATGAACTCAAACTCCCACCATGGCGGGTCAGTCCACTCAAGCCCCTCCATTAAGTTCACTTGGTCATTGGGTTCTGTTTACCAAGTTTGGACCTGGTCTATTGTTGGTGGTCCTGGTTACCATGTCTGTGGATGTAGCTGAACAACAACTCCCAGAAATCAAGGTCAGTTTCCCCAAAACCACTCAGTTGGTCATGGGGGTTATGTATGCCAAATGTGGTCCAGGCCCCTCCCAAACCCCTCAAATATTCAAAATTTTGCATGCCATGAAGGTATTCCAAGTTTGGTCCAGATCCATTGTTTTTGGGTTCACAGAGCTCTCTGGATGTAGGTGAACTACAGGTGAATCAAGGTCAATTCACACCAAAACCCTCCAGTTTTTTTTGTTGATCATGTGATGTCTGTGTGACAAGTTACATCCAGATCCATTATTGGTGGGGTCCAGAATGCTCCTTGATTAAAGGTGAACTATAAATCCCAGTATCTACAACTCACAGATGTCAAGGTCAATTCCCCACCCCCCACAGCATCTGTGAGTGAGAGGGTGAACTTTGTAGAACTTCTATCAATGTATGTTTTGTCTTTCGGGGTAGGAAATAGTGGTTCAGGAAGACTTGAAAAAAAAAAACCTACTTATTTGTGCTATTTTTAGGAATTTATAGAATCCCGTGTCAAGGGCAGTCTTGTTGACTACTGGATTGGACTTTATAAGGGGAAAGATGATTGGGTATGGGAAGAAGGCCGTCCTTTGATACGAACGTAAGTTTCTGGGCAAAATTCATCCACTGCTTGTATTTTAGAAACTTCATAAAAATGTTTTTTTCTGCTGCCTGATAATTAATGTATTTTTTTAAAGAGAGAGAGATTTGTAGAAAGCATGTAATACTCTGTATTTCTGGCCCATGTTCAGCAATTGCCATGACACTGACACTCTCCAGCGGAAGTATCTGAAATTGAATTTTTGATAGGGATATGAAAAGTCTGAACTATGCAACACACACATATCGCAGTAACATGGCCACGGTGGTCCACACTCTCGTTACATCTAGGATAGACTACTGCAATGCACTCTACGTGGGGTTGCCCTTGAAGACTGCTCAGCAGCTTCAAATAGTCCAACGAGAGGCAGCCGGGTTAATAACTGGGGCGGCATACAGGGAGCATACAACTCCAATGTTACCCCAGCTCCACTGGCTGCCAGTTTGCTACCAGGCACAATTCAAAGTGCTGGCTTTGGCCTATAAAGCCCTAAACGGCCCCGGCCCAAATTACCTGTCTGAACGCATCTCCCCCTATGAACCATCGTGGAGATTAAGATCCTCCAGGGAGGCCCTGCTTTCCGTCCCGCCATTGTCACAGGCACGATTGGTGGGGGCGAGAGACAGGCCTTTTCGGTGATTGCTCCCCGGCTATGGAACTCCTTTCCTGGTGAGATCAGGTCGGTCCCCTCTCTCCTGTCCTTTAGAAGGATGGTAAAAACTTGGCTGTGGGACCAAGCTTTCGGGACAGGGCAATAAAGCGGCAATAGGAAAGATGACCAGGCCAATGATTTGACGCAGATGACTAGGATGTTTTAAATGGTGTATTTTAATATTTTGATTTTTTTTAATGTTTATGTATTGTATGTGAATCTGCGTCCCAGCATTGAATGTTTGCCGTGTATATGCTGTGCTCCGCCTTGAGTCCCCTTCGGGGTGAGAAGGGCGGAATATAAATGTTTTAAATCAATCAATAAATAAATAAACATGAAACATGGGAAGCATGAATCAGGGGATGCTAATGGTGAAGAAAAAAAATGGAACATATAAATATTAGGATAAGTGAGCTTAAATGCATGGCAATGGAACATTTTGAGCCAGATACACAGTGTTTTTCTCAGGAAATGCAAATGGAAAGTTAAGAAATGGGGTGGCATTGATAGGAGAGATGTAGCAAAAGCAGTTCAAATGAAATTATGCAAAATCTGAAAAAATCACAGCAATAAGACTTTTTCTATAGGGCAGGAAGGCGGGGAAGATCATCAATATAACCATAATCCAAATTCATGCTCTAATTGCAGAGAAGAAAAAGTTGAAAAAAATCTGTATTGAAGTCCAGGAAGAAATGGATTGCACACAAAACTGAACTTCTATGGAAGTCCAGGAGAAAATTGATCTTTGACAGGAAAGGTCAAATTGATCTTTGACAGGAAAGGCCTGTTTGGGCTGAAAAATGCGGTATAGAAATAAAGCAAATAATAATAATAATAATAATAATAATAATAATAATAAAGGCTAAAGATCTTGCAAAACAACTCCCAGAATTCCACTGGAGTTAAAATGCCATTAAAGCCACACTAATTCTATACTAGATGAACCCTTTATTCTATGAGGGGTCTTCAAAAAGTTTCAGCACCTTTTAAAACTGTATTAAGAATTCAAAAAACAAATTATATGGATTTTCTACATAGTCATCTTCCTTTGCAATGTATTTTTCCCAGTGTCATACCAACATTTAATGGCATCAGCAAAAATGTTTTTGGTGGAGCTCCTAGCCACTGATGCGCTGCTGCTTTCACATCACCATCACATGAAAATTCTCTTCCCCTTCAAGCTCCTCAGTCAGTTGCTTAGGCATCCAACTGGCACAGACTTTACTGAATTCAAGGCTGCCATGAATCAGTTCACAGGCAAATCCAACACTCACATTCAGCTTTCCTGCAGCATCTTTGACTGTTATTCTTCTGTTTTCACGAATCAGTTCCAGGGTGGTCCTGGCAGTAGCTGGATGCAGAGCACTCTGCATCTGTCACGTTCATAGTACAGACATTTTTGAACATTTCAATCCATGCATAGATGACTCTACAAGTGAGGACTTTATCCCCATACTGAGCTCACATGCGGAGGTGGATTTATGCTCTCGGCTCACCTTCTGCTCCCAAAAAGTAAAAGATAGAAAACTTTTCCTCTGTGGTAGAACTTATACATTTCACAGCCATCTTCATCACAGCATGATAACTCTTACGACCTCATCATACAGGGCTAGAATTGGTGGCATATGCTGATCTAGCCCCAGTCACCCATTGAATTGGCGAGCTCCCATCAGACATCATGCCGGCTCTGTGGGTGAAGTAGGGCAGAACTGGTGTGCTGCAGAGGCAATACTGGAGGATTTCCATGTTGCCATTAAATCTATTGGGGGGGGGGGGAGCCATGCACACCATACCTGCTCCAAAAGCTCTCACGCTTCCCCCATGTGATCGCTCTCCCATGGACCCCTGCAATGCGAGGCATGGGCCGTTGGATTCCATTTGACCTGCAGCAAAGTGGAACGCCACTGCCTCCTGCCATCAGCCATCTCATGAAGTAATTATACTAAATGGCAAGGCCAGCCAGTTTCCAAGATAGACAAGATGCATGAAACTTTCAGACACAACCAATTACTACTACTACCACCCTCACTGTTTCCAATAAAAATATATAATATGCTGACATTTTTTGAAGACCCCCCTCAAATTTCCTCAGATGCATGCATGGCATGTACTTATGCTTCCACTTTCTCTAAGTACTTCAAGATCCATTTGCATGCTGGTGTTTCAGACTAACATAGCAGTGGATTGGAATTCTACCTGCATTGTTTATTTTGTTTAGCAGTTGCTCAATTGACTAGCCTTAAATATCAGTAAATTTTAGTATACTTATATTTAAATATAAATATAGTATTGTACAACTTTTAACTGCTTAAAAGTCTTTCTTTTTTCTTCTTCCAGATTCTGGGGTCCTGGTGAACCAACAAATAAGGGCCCAGCAACAGGATATACTGAAGACTGTGTTTTTGTTGATAAAAACTGTGCATTGACCAAGCAATGTTGGAGGGGTAGCCTATGTAATTCCCAAAAGGGAGCCATTTGTCGATTAAGACCCAACAAAAAGTGGATGCACTGACTGGGGTCTCTGAAGGCAAATGGAAACAGGCTTTGTGATGCCTTCAAGGACACTTATGTTAACAGAAGCTGCAAGCAGGTTACAGGATGGCATGAAGAATTGTTCACAGCTTCCTGGTTTTTGTTCAGAGAACATCTGTAATCCACCATGGTGGAGACAAAAGCTTAGTTTGTAACCCCAGACATAAATTGCCCATAAATTATAGAACGGAAGAGGTTGGTGTGTGGCAATGTGTTGCTTTAGTACCTACCAGTGTGCACCCAGTTTCCAGTGTGTTTTTCCAATATCAACAATTTGAGGTGCAAAAAATAACATGTTATCATAAGGTGTCAGGAGAGCATTCTTACCATAGCTGGTTCGGAGTGGTATTTATTGAGTAGGGTTGTTGTCAGGTCATTGTCTGCCTAGGTCCCCTACTTTGATAAGATAACCTCAGTAGCAGAGCAGGCAGATGGTAGCATGGTCCATGTTACAATTAGAGGTGTGAGAAATGGCAGAAATCCATTTTGGTTTTGTTTGGAAATTTGAACCCCCATTTCATTTTTGGAAGATTGGGGGGGGGGGGGGAAGCATTTTGATTAGCAATTCAAATTCCAAAGTTTTGGTATTCTTTCAATAAGATTCGGCCCATTAGCAGCAATTACAAAACTTATGAGACTTGTTTTTTTCCTTATTTTTATGGTTATCAGGATGAAACTTGCTACATGTTTAGGCTAAATTTACAAGTGTAAGCCTGTCAAGTTTCAGAACATTTTGGTTATACACTGATCTTAGGAGATTCAAAAAATCAAAATAATTTAAAAAACAAAATCAAACGAAGCATCCCCTTGAATTTCTCCACAGTGACAGAACATTGAGTACAGCATCATTCCTGCCAAGTTTCAAAAAGATCCAGTCATTCACTGTTTTTCAGAATTCTTTTCCAATTTAAGCACCTTAGGTGAGTCACACTCAGTCTCAGATGATTGAATTTTTTTTCAGATGTCAGGATGAAAGTTTCCATGCTTGTAGGACACATTTGTGACTGTAAGCTTGCCAGATTTCAGACCATTTAGATCATCCACTAATTTTTAGGAATTTTAAAACATTTTTACAAATATATATATTTAAAATAAATCAAGTGTTCCTTGAATTTCTGCACAATGACAAAACATCAGCAGGCCATTATAAGATGTGTAGTCTCATCACCTCTGACTGCCCTCAGGGACTACTGGGCACTACCAACTCAGATTGAAAGGCTCCCTCAACAGCAGCAGCACCAACACCAGCACCAAAAGACGTTATTTTAATTTTGATGGGCATGGGAGGATGAGAGGACACAAGAAGATACAACCAATTGTCTTAAAATTAAAATTGTTAGAATCCTCAATATTTTATGAAATATATGTTAAAGAAATAAGAGATGAAGACTTAGTTGTAACAACGATAATTTTGTAAAAGAGCTCCCCATACCTCAACAACTTTCACCCTCTTTGTTTTCTCCTTGCAACATATTAGAGATTTGTAAAGATGCAACTAACCAATAACTAATCTATTATCCCATTTTTTTTCTTTTCCTTACCTTGTTTCCCCACCACACAGTCCTAGTAACTGTTTTATAAAAATGATTTGGGAAAAAAGGAGTACTTCTCCCCTCAAAGCCTGCTCAGAGCCACTGGACCCAGCAACACCACCCATAACTACCATCATCTATGATTGCATTGAACTATGGCAGTTAAAGTGGTGTGAAACTGCATTAATTTTGTGCTGTAGATGCATCCAATGCTGTTGCCTGTATATCTATAGTCTTTCCGTCTTCGGGCAATGTTGATTCTTGTTGCTACTAAAAAGGGAGCACAGAAAGTTAGAGCCATGTGACTGTTATTATACTGTATTAATAACAGGAAATTAAGGAAGCAGAAGCAGCTTTTCACATGGTTCATCTGTCACACAGTTCACCATTTGTCTAGCTGTAGTAACACAATAGTTTTTTCCATTCTGTAAGTTTTATGCAGTTTTTAAATGTGACCACTGGGAGTCACTAGTCATCTAGGAGAAACGTGGGTTCCAATTTATCAAAATATACTAAATCCAGGCCCTTTTATTTTTTGGTGTTAAAAATTAATTGAAGTGCTTCATGGGCGATTAGCAAACAGATAGCCATTCCTTCCACTTCCTTGGGATTTTCATTGTTGTAGACATGCATTTTATTAGCAAGGTGTTTTTGTTTCTTAATATTTATTTTAATTATTTGCTATTCCGGCACTTTAATAAGGACAATGACATGATGACAAGTTTCTATAAATCTGATCATTTATTAAGGTACAAATGCAATCTAAAAACATTATTTGCAATGGCTATCTGTCTCTGATTTCTAATCCTCATGAAGCATATCCCTTCCCATATTTTCATTTATTATTATTAGATGATTCTGTAGACAGAGGAGTTAAAGAAAGCATTCCCAATAGCACCAGTCAAGACTAATTCACAAATTCATCCATGTGGTTTGGGTGGAAATCCCTGCATCAAGGAATGTGAATGAATAATAACAGAATACATCGTAATGAATAAAGACATATGTGGTTAGCGTGGTCAGACTAAAGAATCATTTTTACTATATTTTGAAGAAATGACTATTTCTGGAAAAGGAAATGTCTGAGGGATGCTGAAACAAAAATTACCTAGATCAAAAAATGTTTATGGGTCGAGTTATGTTCCGGGCCAATAGATTTAATCTATTTAAAGCATTGTTTCCCAATTATTATTATTTATTATTTACTTCATTTCTATCCCGCTCTTCTCACCCCTCAGGAGACTCAGAGTGGTGTAGAACAGACGTCTAGGCAAAAGTTCAATGCTTCATTATACAAACAATACAAACCATAAAATAAAAGTCAAGATGTGGATTTTTGAACAAGTGTTTCCAAATGCAGAGTAACTGACATAGGAAAATGGAACAACGACAATGAGACTGGACAATATTTTTAACAAGGAGACACTATGAATTTATATTTTATTGACTAGCTATACCCACCACGTGTTGCTGTGGCCACCCTTCCCTCACTCTTTCTCTCCTTTCTCTTCTTCCTTCCCTCTTTTTCTTTCCCTTCTTTTTTCTTCCTTCTCTGTTTCTTTTCTCGCTTCCTTTGCTCTTTGGTTCCATCATTCCTTGTCTCTTTCCTTTCTTCCTTCCCTCCCTCTTTCCCGCTTTTGTTCCTTCTCTCCTTCCTTCCCTCTTTCACTTTTTTATTTCCTTCTCTCCTTCCTTCTAAACGTTTCTTTCTTTCCTTCTCTCCTTCTTTCCTTTTTTCTCTCCCTACTTCTTTTCATCCTTCCTTCCTTCCTTCCTTCCTTCCTTCCTTCCTTCCTTCCTTCCTTCCTTCCTTCCCCCATTCCGTGTATGTGTTTTGTGTGTGCATATATGTGTGTACATATTTCTGTATATATTTGTGTATATATGTGTGTTTGTGTACATATGTGGCTTTGCACATGCATTGTCATGATTTTTTTTTGTTTTTTGGCTTTTTAAGTCTCATCTGCTGTGTTTTTCAGTATTTTTACGAGTGATGGTCACTCGTTGGCCTGATAGGTGTATTGTGTCCAAATTTGGTGTCAATTCATCCAGTGGTTTTTGAGTTATGTTAATCCCACAAACGAACATTACATTTTTATTTATATAGATATGTTTAAATTTTTATTATATGTTATGTTTTTAATTGTATTTATGATTTTGTAAGCATTGAATTTTACCCTGTTAACCACCTTGAGTCGCCTACGGGCTGAGAAAGGCGGTATACAAATACAGTAAATAAATAAATAAATAAATAAAATCACTAGAAACAATAGACATATAAATAAATCTATATATATATATAAATGCTCGGTGCATAATGAGTAACTTAAAAACAATAAAAATACAGGGCCAAATGACCCCAAATTTGGCAAAAAAACTCCTTACAATCCAAGGAGTGACCATCACTGAAAAAACCCCCCACTAAAACACCTTTAAATTCAAAAAAGGAAGAAGACAACACACCTCCCCTATCCCCCCCCCCCTCATGCTGAGGACACAGAATGGGGGTTCCGAAGCAGCAGCAGCTGCTGCGATGTCTCTCGGCCCCTAACACTAAGGCAAGGGATCAAAGCGCAGAAGCTGAGGAAGGGGAGGAGGGGGGGGGAGGAAAAAAGAGGGAGGCTGGCCACACTCTGTGCACACACTCTGACTCTCTGCCCCCCCCCCCCCCCCCCCCCCCCCCCCCCACACACTCCCACGGCACAAGGGAAGGAGGAAGGTGCCATGATGGGGGTAATAGGAACACATGAAACTGACATGGCTTGGAAAGAAGCCCCAAATACCATCCAGCCCAACCTCATTTGGCAGTAACTGAAGACATCATCAAAGCCCTCACAACAGATGGCCAACCAGTTGGAAGGGAGCCCTAAAGGCCATCTGGTCCAACCCCCTCCTTCCCTCCCTCCTTCCCTCCCTCCCTTTCTCTACTTCCCTTCCTTCTCCTTCCCTCCATTCCCTTCCCTTCCTTTCATTCCTTCCTTTTTCTCCTCCCCTCACCAGCTTCATCCTCCTTTATTAAATCTACAGTGTAGATGCACCCAAAGTCAAACCTTCCATCCTGCCATGTAAAATCCAGATTATCTACTTAGGACTGGATTATATGGCAGTGTAGACACATGCACACACACATATATGGATGTTGGATCACTGGTTGGTGTGATATATATACAGAGGTGGCCCTAGGTAATTTTCAACAGTAAGCAAACAGTATTTGCCCCCCCCCCCAACCAATCACTGATATATATTTTCTGTTCGTCGTGGGAGTTCTGTATGCCATACTTGGTTCAATTCCAACATTGGTTGAGTTCAGAATGCTCTTTGATTGTAGGTGAACTATACATCCCAGTAATTACAACTTGCAT